GTAATATGTAACATAGCCACTTGGTGGCGCTATCTTCCTGGTCGAGCAACAGCTCCACAAAGGAATTTACATAATATTTTATATTAGAAGGAAGTATCCCAACTTCGTGTTGGATTTATGCTATTTTTACTTCCTTATTTGCATACATTAATCAGTCAGTGAAGCTTTGCATATTAAAAGTCATTCTAATGTTAAGTGTGAAAATGGAAGTTAACGTGCCCCAATCTCACTGTAAGATGATCAAAAATGTAAATATCTTATCTGCATTTAGAATGACTGAAATTAAATTAAATGCTGATTGGCAGCTAAACAGTACATTGACTTTAAAATGATATTTGAAACATGTTTATGGTATAATCTGAAGCCACTTAATTGTACGGTGTATCCAGCATTTCTCTTGCAAATGAACAGGAGCAACCACTACTGAGGCAGGTTGTTCAATTTGGGACATTTGTTAACACAGCATAATAACCCCATTTAAAAGACCCCCATCACACCCAATGTTAACTCTTGGGAAGTGAGTGTACAGCACAAAGTTGGGCTTCCCAGGAGCAGAATATAGATGGCCAGATGAACTGGTTTTAAGATCTTGTTCTCTGGGACTTTGTCATAGTTGTTTTAGAAGCTTTCATGCCCTTTAGCTATCATCCCTCATTCTCCCACCCACTGGCTCTTCTATGCCCTCCATAAACCTTCCAAGTCAACTCATGTTCTTTCTCCCCATGCCACCTCATACCCCCACACACTAACTCTACAGCCTCTCATAAGGCAAGGCTATGGCCTAGGGATGCTATCACTAGACAATTAATCTAGAGACCCAGGTCCATGTTCTGGGATGTGAGTTTGAATAGCACCATGGCAGGTAGTGCATTTTGAATTCAATAAAAATCTGGAATAAGGAATCTAATGATGACCGTGAAATTGTTGTTGATTTTTGGAGGATCCGATGTGATTCACTCATGTCCTTTAGGTAAGAAAACTGTCATCCTTTCCTGGTCTGGCCTACATGTGACTCCAGATCCACAGCAATGTGGTTGACTCATAACTGCCCTCTAGGCAATTAGGGATGGGCAAGAAATGTTGGCTCAGCCCACATTCCATGAACAAATACAAAATGTCACCCAGCATACACCATGAACAGTCCTCAAGAGACATTCAGAGATGAAAACAATAATTAAACTTCTGAAAATGTAATACAGATCTTGTTTATGCACTTAGCCTTTCCCCACTAAGATTTTGAAACACGGTAAAACATTCATAATAGTTTCAATTATAAATAGCCTTTGGAAAATGCTTACAAAAGAACTCAATTGAAACCGGTGGAGCAATGTACTTTTCTTTCCATTTACACCAGATGATCTGTTAATTGAAGCAATCCAGCACAGGGTGTCTTTTAAACTGATAGCTTCAGCTGATTGCTCATGTTAAAGAGACTGGGGATTCAATGACAAAAACTTCAAATCGTACACCAAATCAGACATTAGCCAGCCTTCAAGAGTAATTGCATCTCTACCCCATCAATTCATAACTTGACCCATTGCCAGGAATCACTCTTCAAATAGTCAAAGTGGATTTGTTTGAACTCAGTGCTAATTTCCTATAGCCCAGCTGAGTTCAGATTCCCTGTAATTCAGGTCCTTCCCCCCACCCCAGCAAAAATGGCGTGAGTCAGAAATGTAGGCAGTCATTCTATATCCAGGTCCTGCCTGCCATTTTAAAGTTCCATTGGGTCTTTCCAGCTCTGTAAGAATCCAACCATCGACTCGAAGCACTCAATCAGATCATTCAATCCATCAAATCTATATCAGGTGTCTAGACTCCAAAGGCACCTCCTCTAACCCTATTCCATTATATCTCTATTTCCTTCAGCCTCGTAAATATATCCAGCCCTCCCCTAATGCATCAATACCAGCTACTTCAATTCCTCCATGTGCCAGTGAGTTCCATATTCACATCACATTGTTTGGAATTTCTCCCAAATATTATATTGGACCGGTTGGTGACTATCTCATTTTCTGCCAGTCTTTTTCTGAGACACTGACAAATGGAAGGCCTTTTGTGGTATCGAGTCAATTCAGCTCCTTCATTATTTTAAGTACAATCAGTGACTACATCCTAGTCTTTCCTTTTCTAGAGAAAAGAACTTTCAATTTCAATTCTTCCTGATATCTGAAAACTCTCAGTTTTGGTGATTTTTCTTCCTCTTTAATCTTTTTCCATCACCCATTGGGTCTTGTTAATGCTGGTTGATCATGGAGCCAGTAAAGGTGAGTGTAGGTGGGGAGTTAGGGAGGGGATAAGTCAGTCCAGGGAGGACGGACAGGTCAAGGGGGCGGGATGAGGTTAGTAGGTAGGAGATGGGGGTGCGGCTTGAGGTGGGAGGAAGAACAGGTTAGGGAGGCGGGGACGAGCTGGGCTGGTTTTGGGATGCGGTCGGGGGAGGGGAGATTTTGAAGCTTGTGAAATCCACATTGATCTCCCTAACTCCCCACCTACACTCACCTTTACTGGCTCCATCCCCGCCTCTTTGACCTGTCTGTTTCCTCTCCACCTATCTTCTCCTCTATCCATCTTCTATCCGCCTCCCCCTCTCTCCCTATTTATTTCAGAACCCCCTTCCCCTCCCCCATTTCTGAAGAAGGGTCTAGGCCTGAAACGTCAGCCTTCCTGCTCCTCTGATGCTGCTTGGCCTGCTGTGTTCATCCAACTGTACACCTTGTTATCTCAGATACTCCAGCATCTGCAGTTCCTACTAGCTTTGATAGCCGCATTGAGTTGTGTCTATGGATTCTACAAACAATCCCACAAGTTTGGATAAACACTGCAGTTCTCTTGTCACTTACACTGATGTGCCCTCTAACCATCCTCACATCTACACTACTACTTCCAAGAAGCTTCAGCAGTGCAGGCAGCTGCCAGGAAATCAACATCTGTAAAGAAATTCGAATTTCTGGTAAGGGATATTTACATCAATAGATAGAGGGATACAGAATGTACCTCAGTTAATAAGGCTCAGCTAGTGGTTCAGTGATTAGCAACAAATACTCTGTGTCCCATCTGTTGAGTGTACTGTATAAGCTACTTCCTGGGCAGCTTGTGCTGGGCAAGTGAAGCTGAAAGGGTCTATCCAAAATTACGGGTTTGTTTAAAAAAACAAAAGCAGAGATTGCTGGGAAAACTCAGCAGCTCTGGCAGCATTTGTGGAGACAGAACAGAGTTAACCTTTCGGGCCAGTGACCCTTCTTTATAGACCCGAAATGTTAACTGATTTCTCTCTACAGATGCTGCTAGACCTGCTGAGCTCTCCCAGCAATTTCTGTTTCTGATTTCCCAGCATCCGTAGTTGTTTGTGATTTTTTGTTTGGTTTAGACATTTGTTTGCAGACTCAAAACAGTCTGAGACAAGTTTGCACCGTAGCACCGTCCCTATAGTAAATATTTCAAATCAGCTCTCAACTTTTTTGTTCATCTTTGAATGTTTTCAGCGGAGTGTAAACGTGACCACCAGTACAATGGCTCCCATTGTATTTACTCGCTTATAAAATTACACACGCCCTACAGCGATGAAAGGTGTTAGAAAGATGACAACATGGTAACTTTCCAGGAGACAAGATGCTTTCCACAGACTCCGGGAAGGACCACCCCAACGTGCACTTGAAAAGACGGAGGGGGCACATTTCAGAAGAGAAGCGGTCACGTTCCTTTAGAGATCCCTCCAGAATTTTGACTCTTAGTTAGTCTGTGCCATAAATTCGTGTTAGGGTGTGGGTTAGTGCGTCTTTTATTGGGGGCAGATATACGGGACAGGAGTGGCACCCCAGGATTTACATTCTGCAAATTAACACCAGTTAACGGGGACTGGCTCTTTTATACAGAAAATTTTCTCAGGCACCAGTCTTTGCGCCATTATGCGTCAGTCCACATAAAGATTGATAGGCCGGGTTAATCTGATCAATGGGACTTTATCATGACTATCAGGGTGTTCCATTATGGGGAGGGTTTAAAGTGCATTTTACCACAGACTATCAACAAACTATAACTGAACTTGACACTCTGTACCAGTACTCGAGGTTTCGAAGACAAACGGGGAGATTTTGTTCTGTAAATGAAACAATAAATAAGCTCTTGATGTTCTGCAATTTAGCTACAATTGCTACTCCCCGATTTACATTCTGCTGGGATGCTTTCAAAGCGCTAACAAATACAACACTTAGGGTCTAGGCCCGAAACGTCAGCCTTCCTGCTCCTCTGATGCTGCTTGGCCTGCTGTGTTCATCCAGCTCTACACCTTGTTATCTCAGATTCTTCAGCATCTGCAGTTCCTACTATCTCTGAAACAACACTTAGAGTGTTGCTTTGGAGTAAACCAGTAATTCTGCACTAACATAGTGAGTGGAAAGAGGCCATTCGGCTCTCGCACTGCTGTTCACTGGGACCTGCCGGTGTGTGATTATATGTTTACACCAGATGTGAAAGTGTGTTCACCTGCAAACCAGCCTGATACCATTTTGTCCTTAACATTTCAGTCGCTAACGGTAAATTTACTTTTAGTATTTTACTTCTATATTTGACAAACGAACATTTTTATACATCTTCAGCAGTGAGGACAATTCATGAATGACACCGTCTCTACCGATAGAGTGAGAGAGAGACCACTTCGAACTGAATTCTTTAAAATGCTCACAACTCTCGGGGTAAATAAACAGCTTGCCTGTGGTTAAATCAAACAAATCGTCCCACGAAAGTGCGAACATTTCTTTCCCATGTCGAGCTTTGTGTGTGGAAGTGGAGTTTCTTTAGCTGAGGGGGTGTGGGTTTTGGGGCGAGGGGGCTGGGTTTGAACTGGAAAGTTGCCCTGTCAGCAACGCATTGAGGGGCAGCTCTGATACCGCCTCCAGTGAGTGCCAGTGGGATCGCGGCTGAGAGTCCCATTCACCTCCTACACAACCGGTAAGTAAATACACACTGAAAAAGCCTTGTTTGCAAGGGTTCCTTTCCAGGTTGACGATAGCACTGTCCGCAAGCTTTTTGTTTCAACTCTTCTCGCCGTCTCGTTGCATCGCCTGGGTCAGAAAGTGGGTCACTCCATTCACTGATGTGTGCCTGATTATCACAGGCAAAAGTTTCTTCGGCAAATTCTCACCCGGTTACTTTTCGGCATCATTAGTGGAGTATACACCTCCCTCCTCCCGAAATCGGTTTCCCGTGAAGAACTGACTTGTTTTAACTGCAGCCCTTTTGATGGAATGCTTTCTGCTTGAACTTTTCGGACAGGTAAGGCGCTGGGAAGAGAGACTGTAAGGTGTTGTCCCCAGCGCAGTTAACTTGTTTCTAACTGAAGCGTGCTTCTGGATTTTCTGTACCTTGCCCTGGTTGGAGGGGGCTATAGTTTGACCAGAATTTGTCCTCTCCCTAGCTACTCCCAGTTCTGAAGAAGGATCTCTGGACTCGAAACGTTAACTCTGCTTTCTCTCTCTATCTCTTTTTGCAGAGATGCGGCAGGCTTGCTGAGTTTCTCCAGCTATTTCTCGGTTTCTGTTTTGTCGTCCCACTTTCTCATTCGCCTCCCAGACAGTAAATCGTTCCCTTTCCAAATAATTCCCAAATCGATTTGGAGACAGATTAGATGGAGCTGGGCTGGAACTAAATTAAATTAAGCTGAATGAAATGTGCATTAGATTAACGATTCAATCTTTACATTTCAGGTTGAAGTCTCGATTTTGGCTTTTTTAGAGGAAACGTGAAATTCGTGTTGAGGGGGCTGAGGAGATGAGGTGCTTTTGGGAACTCACTCGGTTTCTCTTGGTGTTGTACCTCATCTGCTGTCCTGGGGAAGGGGCGAAAGGCGGAGATGGGAACGAACAAGCCAGCCGTCCCAGGAGGAAGGGGAAAGGAAAATTGTTGCCGAATAAAGGAGTTCTGACCACCAGGGAGGGCCATGAGTGTTCCTGGGAGGTGCAGGGGCAGGAAGAGTCCACCCTCCAGCTGAGCTGCACGTACCAAGGCAACAGTTACTGGTGTCAGTATAGCGGCACGCCGCACAGCTGCCTCGCCTATAACAGCAGGGCGGCCCAGTACTGGAAACAGGTCCTCAGTAAAGTCAAGAGGAAAAGACACGTCTGTCAGGGAGATGCCACCTTAAAGGCGAGGGTCTGCAAGCAGGGGCCGCCAGAATCGCAGCTAAAACTGAAGGGCAAGAGCCCCGATCCGGGCAGGAGAAAGGACAAGGTTCATTTCAGAGGGACTGGGCGCCTGAAGGAGCAGAGTGCAGGGTTGGAGCAGGCTGAGCCCACTCAGAAAGCCCGGAAAAAGACCAGCAACAAATCCAAAGCGTCGGATTCTGTCAGGGGCGAGGAGCCGAGCTCACTGAGTGAGATGAATGATGACCATCCCGATTTGCAAGGAGACCTCTCTCAGGTTTACTGCGCTCAGAAATGGCATTCCCTCTGCTCCTTCTTCGTCGGACTGTGGAATGGCTAGTTAGAGACTTTCTCTGACAGCATAGCGAGACAGGTTTAGGTACATCCATCCAGCACCCCCCCACCCCTTCTCGCCTGTGTAACTGAGATCTCCTTTAATACTAAACAGAGCCGACTAAACAGAACCACTGCTGAATTAGAACTGTTTTTTTTACGTACTAAACAGACTCACATTGTCGAGTGAAACGCTGTGAACGCTATCTCTGTTAATTTAACATTTCAATAACTTGTTTGTTGCATTGTATTTTTTTTTAACTCGACCCTGTAAGACACAACATTAAAGTCAGAGAAACCTGTTTTGAGATGTGCCGCTTGCCTTAAGATGCGCAGTAGAGTTGGAGCAGTGACTGTGAGGGAGAGGGTCGGAGGGGTTTAGGAGAGTCTGATTCCTCATGGATTAATAATGACTGAGATGAGCTGGAATGTGGGGGTTGGGGGGGGTGGGTAGACTCATTTGTTAAATTATATTTCGCCCCTGTCCATTACACGTTCTATGTTTGTGTTTAGTGTCATATTGGAAAGGGTCTATTGTTGGTCCGTGTAACGCCGGAGTCCGCAGCTCAGCTGAACGGTGAGGGCAGTGTTGTGTTGGAGAGCTGTCACTGTGGCACCGTTAGGACTGAACAGGACCTGCTGCGAAGCAGGAAACGTGGCAAGGTGTCCCCTCGCCCAGCCTGACCACTCCCAGAGCTGCCAATGTCAGTAGCTGTCCTATTGAATCGATGCAAATACCACAGGCTGCACTTTGAGCCGTAAAATGCAGGTATGCACTGCAGTTGGGAACTGAGGCCAATTCGTTCTGTGGGGACATCTTACACCATCTGGGCCTCGTCCTGGATCAAATGTAACTCTGCATTTTGAAGAAATCAGAATGCAGTATTCTTTGTGACATCCAGAAAACTTTTAAAATTTTTTTTGTGAAACATTTTGAACTGCTGCAAGGCGCTTTGGCGATATGCTTTCTTTCCCATTAACATCACAAAAGGACAAAAAGTCATCGACCTGAAACATGAACTCGGCTTCTCTGTGCACAGATTTTCCCATGTCTCTGCTGATCAATTCCAACATTTTCTATTCTTTCGAATGCAAATTTCTAACATTGTTCTTTTTTAAAAATTTGTTCAGGCTTTTTGAGAGTCACCAGCGAGGCCTACTTTTATTGGTCGTCCCTGATTTTGTATTAGACAATGGCCATTGATAAAAGGAAGAGACAGAAAAAAAAATGGGCCTGTATCAGGATGATAAACTTCTTTACAGTCAACAAGTATTTTTGAGAGCTTTAACTGTTGCAATAGAGGAAGGGAGACAGCTAATTTGTGCGCAGGAAGCTCTTGCAAACAGCAATTGAATAAATAACTGAAAAATCTATTTGAACCGTTGACTGCAAGGTAAATTTAAGCTCAGACACAGGAACAGCGTCTACTTCAAATAGTGCTACAAGATCTTTTACATACACCCAAAAGGGCCTTGGTTAAACCAAGAGAGAGTATGAGACACCAAAGCACAATGTAGAGGTACAACCTGTATGCTGGTAGCAGCTTTATCACCAAAGATGTAGTTGGCAATGTAATTCAGATCTCAGAGTTACTCGTCCTTGCGGTACAGAACAACAAGCAAAGCGATGTATAAATAATCTGCAAATTATCTTCAAAAACACTTTGACAAACCTTGAGGATATTTTGGCAGTGACACAATAATTTGCTCTAACACTAGGAATATACATTGTAAACAGTGTACTTGGCTTCATTGCTCAGTCCTTTGAGCATAGGAGTTGGGACGTTTTGTTGAGGTTGAACAGGATGTTGGTGAGTCCTCTTCTGGAGTACTGTGTCCAGTTTTGGTCCCCCTCTTATAGGAAGGATATGATTAAGCTTGAGAGGGTTCAGAAGAAATTTACCAGGATGTTGCCAGGTATGAAAGGTTTGAGTTATAAAGAAAGGTTGGATAAGCTGTGACCTTTTTCACTGGAGCGTAGTAGGTTGAGAGGTGACCTTATAGAGGTTTATAAAATCATGAGGAGTATAGATATGGTTAGTGGTTGGTGTCTTTTCCCTAGGATGGGGCATTTGAAGAATAGGGAGCATATTTTTAAGGTGAGAGGAGAGAGATTTCCAAAAAGACATGAGAGGGAAACATTTTACACAGAGGGTGGTTCGCATGTGAAATGAACTTCCTGAAGAAGTATTGAATGTGCACAGTTACAACATTTAAAAGACACCTAGATAAGTACATGAATATGAAAGGTTTGGAGGGATATGGGCCAGGAGCAGGCAGGTATGACTGGTATAGTTTGGGAACATGGTCGGCATGGACTGGTTGGAGTGAAGGGGGTGTTTTCATGCTGTATGACTCTAGAAGGCGACAAGAAGCAGCTTTACATCCCTCACGTGAACTGAACTTCCTAACGGTTACCTTTCGTACCACAGGCATGATAGAGACCATGGTCAGACTTGGATGGAAAACTAATAGTGTCTGAACAACACATTGTTATCAAACACAAACCAGCCCACATCATTGCACGAGTTGCAAACCACAACTAGTTGCTGCTCAAAGTGACACCTCACCCATAACCTTCACATAATCTTCATGTCTAATAATTATCAGCACAAGTATCCTTTTTATTTGATGTTAATTAACATTAATGAACATTGCATAAGTGCTAGCAGGCAAAGTTTGACACCAAGTCATCTACAGAGATTTCAGGACAGGTGACTACTGGGGTAGATTTTAAGAAATATCTTAAAAAGATAAAAAGAGAAGTAAAGAAACATAGAGGCTTGGGGGGTATGGGGGTAGTTTTGAACCTAGTTCCCCAACAGCATGATTGCTAATGATGGAATGACTATAATTAGGAATTCACAAAAGATCAGAATTGTCATAGCACGAGTCTCATTTTGAAAACTTGGGTGAGAATTTGAAAATCAAAATGTTGCCAGAACACAGGGTCAATCAACATAGTCGTGATAGGTAAACAGGTCTTAGTGCAAGTTAGCATACCATCGACCGATGCATGGAGTTTATGGAAGGTTGAAGGCTGGAGAGTGGGTAGGAGATTGGACCGGTCAAGTCTGGAGGGAACAAAGGCATAAAGGTGGATTTCTGCATCAGATGCGCTGAGGCAGAGATGGAGATAGATAATGGCAAAATCTTCTATTCTGTGTCAGGTCATAATTTCAAACTCTGATCAGATAATGGGTAATATATTTATGTACCTAAAATAAAACAAAGAACTGTGGATCTGAAACAAACAAAAATAGAAATTGCTGAAGAAACTTAGCGGGTCTGGCACATCTGTGGAGAGAGAAACAGAATTAACATTGTGAATCCAGTATGTCTTTTCTTCAGAACTCATCTTATTTACTTGCTCCCCCATTTTTTGACCCCATCATCCACTGGAGGATCCTGCAAAACTCACCAAGCACAGGAATCATCACGAACATAAACGTAAGTACAAGATTTTAACTTAAACAATGAAAACACTAATCAATTATTATAAATCAACCTGTTTAGATATGTTATGATCCATATCCAAGGCAGGTGGAGACTTGAACCCTTAACCATCTGGCCCAGAATTAGGAACATTTCCTTCGCACCACAAGACGCTAAGTGATTACGTGCTGATACATGATTCATTGGTGAGAAGCATGAGTTCATTATCAACATTGCCGCATAGTTGATATGTGGTCTCAGAGGATCACAGGGAAGAATGATGGACTAAATAGAGAGCAAGTTAATGACAGCACCATTGTTGTATAACACAACAGTGAATCTGAGAAATAATATGAGACTGGAACCAGATGAGGGGAAACCATTTGGCTTTATAAAACTCCCAGGCTAAGAAAAAACATTCTTATGCTGTCCAGTACAAATGTGACCCAATTCTGCTGAACAGTGTAGTAATTATTGTACGCAGGACTAACACACGACAAGTTAAAGGGCCAATATGTGTGAGACCACAGCTTATGTGTGAAATGACATTCTATATGTGAATGACAAGAAAGGGCAAAAAAAACTGAAACCATTGCCCAATGATTTTGAGACACAGCTTAGAGCTGCACAAAAGTTAAACAGACTCCTATTAAAGAAAAAAAAGACAGTCCTGACCAAAACATTCATTATAGACAGAAAATCTGAAAGGGTACCAAGTTGACTTTTAATATCGCTTTGCTTCCAGCCTTTATGACATTATGCGATTCGTTCAGGAAAAGCTGAATCAGCATTTAGCCTGAAAAGTACACTCAATATTTGTATCAGAGATAGTAGGAACTGCAGATGCTGGAGAATCCGAGACATCAA